AATAATAGTATTACATATATTCTAATCGCTACATGCTCGATTAACATAACTGCTTTAATGGTTGTATGTGAAATATGATAAAAAGAATTTTTATACAAATAACGTTATAACTACTTATAGAACAACAACTTATATTACAACCTATATTCAATTTATCCAAACGTAGATCAATTTCTATTTTGAAATTTCACACTACATTTTGAATTGTTTCTCAAATGCCATTATGTATGTATGTAATGAGTTTATTGTTTCCCTACGGGATTACAATTTTTCTGTACAATTTTCTCTTAAAAACTATGCGCCCTTATCCTACCTTACACTACCTTAACCCTATTCCGCTATTTACATCGCGCGCTCTTTCTCTCTCTCTTTGTACTTTTTCCTCTCTAATTTTATTATTTATATTGCTTTTATTTAACAACATAATCTTAATACACATACTGCTAATTGCAATACATATAAATATGTACATACGTATATTTTCCATAGAACCTTACAATTTGAACCGTGTTGTACATATTTTAGGAAGAACTTAAATATCGATTAAGTAGCATTTCCATCAACCAAAGATAAATTTCATGATAAAGATCGTCTTATCAAGGACGCTATCAGTGTATACACATATCTATGGTAACAAATAAATACCTGACGAATCTTTCACGAACGTTTGTAACATTTAAAGAAATACAGTATTTTGTAGACAGCAAAGATAATAACTGAACATTCCACTGTTAATATTTTAATCCTGTCTAACAAGTGAAGATACAACACAGTATGTAAATACAATGAAAATATGATAATATACCAACAAAAACAATGGACACATGCTTTATAAATATTTAACATGTATTTTTAATTAAAATTGAATCTTATTAACATAATGTCGTAATGTGATTGTACCTCATCTGTTATTCTCTTATTCGTTCCAATGCATATCTAACTATGTATATAATTATAACTGGAAATTTTATTTAGAGAGTATACAAATAAAATATTTAATATTCATTCTTAAGGTACGTTATCTAAACCGAAAAGTTTATTTTTAAATTACAAGAGGAAATATTCGTAACCGATTCCATATGAAATAAGTACATAGCATGTGTCATTTAATATTTATACTACAAGAGAACGTCAGGAATTATATATTTGACAAGAAAAAAAAGAAAATGAGGGTTTCGTAAATTAGGAAATAAGAGTCTGACCTCATCAGCTGAAGAAGAAGGCAAGCCCGACTTGTCATCGTTTAGTTTCGAAGCAACCAAGCCGTAACGATGAACTTTATAGACACATTTCCTCGTCGTCAACTCGAATTTACTTGTCACCGCGAAGTATCCATTGAAATGGCAACAAACTTTGATCAGCCACAAAATTCGTGCTCACGTGATTAACACTTAAAGTAAATGTAAAACAGCTTGTCGATTTGGACAATATCAAATAAGAACAGCAATCTGACAACGACAAATTCGTTAACAAGGACTATCAGTTTTTATCTTAAAACACACAAACGAAACGTATTACCGAGAGGGGAATATACAACGGTTCAACTCGTAGCAGCGTCGGGACACAACTGGCGTCCATACCTCGACTTCAATCAACGACTTCCCTCGCAAGCTCGAATTAAATGTTCTACCCACTACCCTCTTGTCCCCTCCACAGAGTCGCCAATGAAAGGATTCAACACGTGTAGTAAGACATATACGCTTTTCGCTACCATTAACGAAACGTACGATAACGTTAAGAAAAAAAAATGGCACTATCAATATTACGTACTATACTTATATAAAAATCGTCTGCTATCATACTTGTGCAATTTTAGTTTAAAAACATATAGAAATCGCATAATGTCGCAATTTATTTTGTTCGTCTTTATTTATTAAACTGTATAAAGTCGTGGTAAGTACAAATTATATCCTGCAAAACTGTTACAGATACGAGATTTTCAAAAATATCAGTTTTTGGCCGGTAATCAGAGTCGTTGCTTATTCTTAAGATCATCTCAAGAATTTGTTCTCCCTGTCTATCCCATATTTCCAGTCCCGGCTTTGTACAGGGAACAAAAGCTTAAGCAAATGCTTAAGACAATCTTAAAAATAAGCAACGACTCTGAATACCGGCCATCGATTGCTCCCTAAATCAGATATCTGCAAATCATTTTTATCTTTTATCGTGCAATCGAAATCTATCATAAAAGTTGAAGGTTCCTATCCAGTGAAACTAACCTGATCGCGATAACCATGATCTACGGTCAAAGCAAGATTAAAATTAACTGTCCCTCTCTAAACTCTACAACTTTAATTTAAAACATTTTTTCGCTAACACTCAGTTCCAGCGATATCCAAGGTAGATAGTGTTATTGCCCCACCCGATATAATGACACTAAAAATCGTCTATCAGCATTACTTTTCCAATTTTATTTTAAAAGTATATCATAAAAATCACATAATGATATTTTTATTTATTTATTTATTATCCAGGTATTTTATCATTTATTATCGTGACTTATTTCATTTATCTATTAAACTGTATAAAATTGTGCTAATTTGTATATAATAGTTTATGCAAAATTAATGCATAATAATGATGCTTTAATATTTTAAATCTTATACGTTTTCTCCATTCGTGACCTCGAATGACCTTGAATAATTATAGTCACTGAATTCCTAATGAAAAAGACTCTCATTGTGTGTTTCAAAAAGGGTGGTTCCATTCCAAAAAGAATGAAATTGACCTTGAGATCTTTAAAAAAAAATGACAAAAAAAAAATATTTTTGGCATCGTGCGAGCCGCATTGAACCAGTCAAGTTTGTCATTAAGACATTAGACATATTTTTAAAAACATAAAAAATATTTGAGGTACAAACGTTAGGTAATTGACCCTGTATAGAGAGAGAGGAGGGGAGAGAGAGAGACAAGAATTATGTCTTATAGTTCTACGAACTTCAGCTAAATACTTTGCTGTTCGATCATTCTATCGATGCCAGTTCAACAGCATCTTCTGTAGGCATCCTCGGGGTCAAAATTAAGAAATAAAGTCCATCTTTGTATTATTTCTTTGACCTATTTCCAATAAAAATACTACATTTTTGCTTATCATATACGTGTAGAAGTTCTTGCCTGATTTCAAATAAGACATTATTTCATTCACATTATCAGTTACATTTTATGGTAAAATTTTTTACGGAGTCATCCATGTTTTCCCTTATTCTTTTTACAAGTAGGTAGATTCCTTTAAGAATCTGAAAGATCGAAGTTGATCGTCCAGAGTCCAGATCATAAGCACTAATCGAACAAATCATTTTTGTACTGCTCGAAGCGCAGGAGCAGAGTCCAAATATACGAACGGAATGTTGTTCAGTATAATTACAACCATCAAGCTCTTTCGAAATTCGTATAACATAACACAGAAAAAATGAATTTTCTATTTTTCATATTGGAAAGCCACTTTTATGCACAGATTAACCTAAGTCAACGATGTCTGAGATTTATGAAGAGAAGAAGTTCCTTTTGATAGGTTTGTAAGACAATGCTAAAACAAACATTTATGCCTAAGTACGATGAGGTCTTTGCCTTTAGAAATCAGGTACGAAAACGTTTGCATTGACCTAATACTTTTTTAGAAATTTTTAATTAAACAAAAATTGGAGAGTGGTGGGGTATTTCTGACACCGAATTCATATTCAGCGGGTAAAAATACATAAGGATATCATGGTCTAGTCCGTGATAGGGACCAGCTTCTTTTGTGTATCTGTGTAATTATTCAGTAGCTATTAGGAGTGTGCAGGAATCCGGAATTTCGAGAAGCCGACCCTCGGGTGAAAGTAGTTTAAATAGCTCCGTCTGTTTCCACAATCTATCTAAATATCAAGCTTGTGAAAGAATTTCGAAGGATGCTGCCAAAATATCGTCTCATAGTATATTTACTCTTAATTGATGGACAAGTTTTATAAAACACACTGTATAGCTCGAAATATCTACATTTTTAAATGATTAATTATCATATTACACATAGATTAGCAGAAGTTTCTAAATTGAACTTTAAACGTTGATTAAACTAAAATCTTAATGACGGAAGTATGAAGATTAGTAATACACTTGTTGCAGAGAAAAGATCGGAGGATGCTAGAAGAATATCGAATGGTCAAGCTTTATAAGTAGATAGAATACCCTGTATAGATCGAAACATTTACATTTTTACATGATTAATTATTACATTACAAATAGAATGACAAAAGTGTATAAACTATAAACGTTGACTGAACTAAAAATTACGTAACGAAAATATGAAGATTAGTAATATTCATTGCAAAAAGAATTTCGATGGATGCTACGGAGAATATCGCCGTATATATCACAGTATATATATTTACTCTTTAATTGATGGTGAGGCTTTATAGGAAACACTCTATACCTCGAAACAGTTACGTTTTTAGATGCTTAAGTATTACACTGCACATAAGAGTCATAGAAGTTTCTAAATTGAACTTCAAACGTTCATAACTAAAAATTTCATAACGAAAGTATGAATACATTTTGCAAAGTAAGCAATTTCCATTTTCAGCATAGCCAATTACACGTATATTTATTTTTTGTTTCATAATAAAAGAGGGCTAACTTGAATGTTTCACATATTTATATGATATTAATTTAAAAAGAATGTTCTTCGATTACCAAATTTAAAGAAACATGTAATATAGTCTAATAAAATGATGTACGTTTTGTGAGAAAAGTTATATAATGATAAAAATGTTGTGATTAGCACTAAAGATATACACACATTGTAAATATAATAAATACGATAAAACCTTCATGTCTTAATTCCGTTGTCTTAAAATTCTATTATATTTTCGAGACACAAAACGAACATCATTTTAGTCTGTCCGCAATAATTAAGTATTTCCGAAACTGTCAATTGTTATATATGGATAAATGATCAATAATGAAAATTGCTAATACACCAGAAGCGGAAGCAAATTAATTTGCACATATTGCTGCATTCTAACCTGCATTGTCCACGTGTAGATTTAAGTCCTTCCAACAGTGAACAAGTTTAAAATATCATCTAAAACACATTACGACGTTAACACGCATTTCTTATGTCTCCCGACTAATCAAACCACTTTATATATCCAATTTTCGCAAATCTAAGTGAGAAGTTTGTGCACGATGACAGCTCACTGACAAAGTAACAGCCAAACACTGCTGGAAAAGGCGTCATTGGTGATTCACGCATACCCATACTTAAAGGTAGGCAGTACGAACTGTTCCGTGGAAGGGATAATTGTATGTGTTTAAGCATGAGAGACAAACATACTCCAGACTCCAGACGCAGTGCTGCATTTAGTGTCTAAAACTCGAGGCTACTCGAGACCCTTAAATGATCATATTTTGCAGAAGTTTATTGATTGAAGATATGATATTCAAATAGTGCTAATACAAGAAAATAGTGCAATGTGGCAGTATTGCACACACATACAGGGTTCTTATAGACATCATTACATGCAGATTCATTCAGACAATAGAGATAAGAATTTTTTTCGTTTTGAGCAAATAAATGATAGGTTTCGCAACAATTCCAAGACTCTGATATAAATTACATTTTCCACGTTCTAAGAATCTGATATAAACTACATTTTCCACTATTCCAAGAATCTGATATAAAGTACACTTTCCACATTCCAAGAATCTGATATAAACTACATTTTATTCGAATTTTAGTTAGGTTTCATTTGCATTTCAATCGAGCTCAAATAATACTATATTACACGTATAATTCTATTCTATATTTTATATATATATTGTGTAACTGTGTTCGTTAGGATTTGAGATTTAAAGCTTAATTAAAAATTCGATATTTAATTGTCAAACTATCAATACTGAGCAGACGAGAAATATTTATAGCAGCATGTATGCTCCATCAATGCTGCATATAATAAAAATTTAATTTCTATACGTGTGCATACTAAGTGGGCCGGGAATCGTTTTGAGTAGTGGGAAGCCCGCGTCGGCGTTGTTGCCATTTTATTTTCAACCCCTGTTCAACCCCTTCAACACAATTTAAAGCCGATATTATAATTACTTAACAGTGTAATGCAAGAGTTCAAACGTTATAAATAATTAAATTTCATAAGTGCCTGGAAGGATTAGAGAGAAATATTCTACGTAATTATTATAATATATAAGTAAGATATTTTTATATATTTTTTAATTTTGTTCTGGCTATAACT